AGTTTGATTAAAATGTTTATTGGTAGTGGATTTTTGTAGGAGGTATATCAGTTTCCGCGTATTTTGACTTTGAGAAGAGGTATGAAACTCATATCATCTACCCAAACTTTATTTTGGGTGAGACATTATTATGAAAATAGTGTCACTGAATGAATTTCCTATGTGACCGGTTATTGAATTGCTTTGGAATAAAAAGATACCATGTCATTTACTGTCTCACTTAATAGTATAGTTTTGTAAATTGGCACCCAACTTAAGATGTGACTGGAAGTAGGAGACTGTGAACGATTTAACTTCGACCAGATGACTGGCTGTATGGTTGACATATTCGCTGCCAGACCTAAATATCCTGAGTTTGACCCCGGGTGAGGTCGTAGGTGCATATTTCTGAAACGTCGCATGTCAGAACAAAACAGCTGTCCAGAACTCTCAAATTTCAACGCTTCTCCATTCTCAAGCGATGGCTTTTAAAATATAATCTAAGCCTTTATATATGCAATAACTCGTTTGTGCATTTCCGTTAACAAAAGAGTTAGGAGCCCTTACTAGTAACCTGGAGTGATGTCGTGGATCAATTATTTCTCAAACAGTGGCAAATCCGAATTCAAGCACCTTTAAACTACATTTCGGTAACATATCTATGGTACATCAAACTTCATGACATTTTTAAATATTTTATTCGAATATAAATCTATAACATACAGTAAACGGCAGAATTTAAAGTTATTCACGAAACCAACAACAGAATGAAATGAAAATTCCTTTATGACAACCTATCGCAGCATCGTCCTATTAAAATTCCCATTGTTTGAATCCACAGACTCACCAAGATTAGGTTTGTTAAATAAGTCATCGTCAACCGATGATGTATCCGTATTTCCGAGGATCCCTTAGATCTCGTAGAGTCATCAGTTAGTAGGTCTGTCTTATCTCTGTTGTGCTTTATGGATTTCAAGTTGTTCCGATAGATCGCTTTGTTTCTGGTACTGATTAAAAGTAAGTTTTAGGCTTTCAACATTTTCTAGTGTTGTTACTTGTATTATCCCATCATTAATGCAACAGAAATGGTCAGTTCCTACTGTTGTGTGGGCTCCTGCTAGAATGCTTCCATATCGCGCTTGTTTTAACTATATATTAATGAAAGGTGGAAGCTAGTATTGAAATCAAGCACTCACGTTTCGTCCTGTTTTGAGACTCGATGGCTGAATGTACCTGCCCTGCAGTGAGTGATGTTGTTCTCAACAGGACTCGAATTCAGGTCTGATCGCAACAACACTAAAAATTATACCCATCTTACAGGAAGTTGCTATCGTGGGACGGTAGTCTAGTGGACAACGCTCTGGCGTTTGCAGAGATCGCTCCCTAGTTCGACTCCCGATAGGAACAACGTCAGCCGCTAAGGGGCAGGTACTTCCAGTTGACGAACCCCAAATGGAGTGAAACGAGCGTCCTGTATTCCACTGTTTGCCACTGTCCATTATTAACATATAATTTTAGCATTTTCGTTTGAAACGTAAAGACAAACTTTTTAACTCTGCACAAATCCCATCTTGATCCCTTCATTTATCTTGCGTGCACCTTTTAAAACGGTTGGTAAAATATTTTAAATGTTGGTGTGATCCCAGGCAGTGAATTTGTTCGAAATCTTACCTAAATAAAACCTTATCATTGTGTGTGAACTTTGCGTTAAAAATTCACTTATAATACAGTAATCTAGTCGGCAGTGTTCACCGGTTGGTGCTTAGTGATGGAACTCCTCTGAAATACCGCATGCTACCGAATTATGCATGTTTAGTATCAATTTTTTTGTCGTTAATTAAAAACCGTAACAACGGTGAAATGTTATAAAAATGGCTTTGAGGGAACAGCGACAGAGAACTGTGTTTTTCTTCACAAAATTTTCACAACCAGGTAAATAGTTTTCGTTTATTATCATGCTTTATCAAACTTAGATGTTTATTCCTCCTTTCCTTCCCTTTTGTCCCTGTGGAATGTTTTAGCCAACTCACAATATTTTGCATGTCCAGTTTATTTGTCGTATGACCTACCCACATAACTTTATGGTGCTAGGTTGTTGCTCCTGTTGTTATTTTTATTTGATAAACTTCCACTAGACTATGTATATAATTGTAGCAATTTGTTACAATTTATCAACCTACCTTTACTTTGTCATTTTGACTGACCCTGACTCTATGACTTTTCAACCGCCTCGACCACTGAACGATATTCCGGTTTCTCTCAATGAATCAAAGTATGTTAATTTTTATGTTTATCGAAATACTTTGGTATTCTAAGTTATAAACCGTTGACGAGATAAGTGGATCTGTTTTCTTTTGCTACAATTACTGTTCTTGTTGTTTTCAAACTCATAAGAGAGAATTTATGTATGAATCAAAAATATTTTACTGAAAGTAGCTTCTACTCACTAGGATAAAAATTCAAAACGCCTCGCTAATCAGTACAAACGACTTTGGATTTTTGATGATATCCTCAACTTGTAGAATATTGACTCAGCTACCATAATGACGATAAGACTGAGAAAGTGTATCAACTGCATATTCTTCTAATGCAATTCAAGCTTTACGTTTCACCAAAATCAAATTAAATATGAACTTTTGATTAATGTAGGACTTTCTTATGTAGCCAAATACTGATAAGTGGAATGAACTACATTATGTCATTTAGAGAACGATTGAAATCTTCTTAACTGAATTACTGTCCAGTCCTCATTAGTAACTTATTTCGAGATACGATTTCTCAATGGTCACATTACAAAGTCGTGACAGGTGGGGAAACTCATAGTGGTTGTGGGAACAGAACTCATTGATGGCACTGAATGTTGCTAGCGCTATATCGCTAACTGACAGGACATTCCATGTCCCCACATTTACTTTCGCTTTCATCGTGAGACACATCAGCTGACTGGCTTCGCGAAGGTTTTCACCAACTGGCGTCATTTCGTCTCTCCAATTCCAGTGGGGAATGAGTTTGTTTTTTAATTTTATATTTTGTTTGTGCTTTGAAGTTTCTATAGCGACTGGATTGGTTTTACGGGGTAGGTTTTCCAGCCCTACGCCCAACTTTCTTTCTTCACCCAGGCTTTGGACCAGCCATTGACTATTGGGCCAGTTAAACAGGTGGTGTTCCAGATTCACTGAAATCTTTCACGACCATTTGTGACATGCAAGACACTCGTGAAGAAAGTGCATAATCATGCATGTGACACTCATTTTGGCTAGGTTTCTTTTTAGAATGGTGTGGAAGATATCAAGGCTGTTGAAGCCGTAGATAATTTTCTACCTTTTGTATATGTTCCGACTTAACAATAAACTTATTATTGTTTCACGGCTTCTTTCTACTGTTTAGGAATCGATTCACTCACAAAGATGATGCCTGAGAGATCATTCTCATATGTCCTGAGTTCTCTGACCCGGGTGGTTTCATCGTGAATCTTTCATTGTCACCGTGAACAACACTATCAACACTCATTCTAATATGAAGTTAGCTATCAGTAATTTTCCGTTAGCCCTGACAAAGTGTTTTGTGAAGTGCTGATGATATTGTCTAGGATGACAGCTTATGCTTGGTGATTAAACGAACCAGCTCAGAAATCGCAACACAACTAACAGCATTCAACTAAGATATAAATATTCTCCATAATTTCACTCTTGTGTATGGATAACCAGAATATATCACAAAGTAACCTGGATACTTTTTATCAAAAACACAAGATTCCAGTCATCAGTTCTAAGGACATTTAAGTCAAGCCTAATCCAGTAGTAAGTTGTTACCAGCTGCATTATATTGTCAACGTGAAAGGGTTTCTGTGATCAAAAATCTACGCTGACCAAGATGATTATCGAATGAATTCGCGACATTCAATTCATTACAGCCGGTTCGCATCAACCATCGAGGTAGAATATTTTACCTCACTATCTGAGTTCTTCAGCAGTCCAGTATTTGTAGACTGCACATACGTCATTCTTATGTCATGAGGAAAACAGTACTTAGATCAATAAACCTACTATTTAAAGTTTTTAAAAAATCGAAATTATTAATACTTTAACCCGTTAAGGTCTTTAGAAGCTGCTTGATCAAAGTCCGTATAATCCCTTTTACTATTTCTATAAACTCAGACACTCTAAACTGAGATCCACCTACCCGGGGTGTATATCTGAGATGTCCATGTTAACTGGTTTACTGGCACCAGGGTGTTAGTGGGTTATCTGTTAAGGTGATTCTCATAACTAACTACATCTGACTGCCTTGACTAATGGGTGTTAAGTATTATATAGCTCAGACTAGTGAAATCGAGGAGGATTTTTGACAAACAAACGGGATTTTGTATTGTGTATTATCATTTCATCCCAGAAGTCTTCTATTATGAAAGTGATATGCATCAGCTGGATTCTGTAAATTTATACTTCTCATAAACATAGGTTTTACTATACTTCTTAATAACTATGCTAAGTTCAAAATTGATTACTTGCTGTAAATCACTGTTGAAACCCAACTTCAAGAAAAACTTATACCACCAAGTGTAGATCATGCTACCATGTAGCGACTAGAAATAAAAGTCTACATTCCTTTTTCTGCCTCAAGGTGTCAATGAATTGTAGTTTGTCTGCATAGGGCAACAATCACGCGTTCTACACTATGGGTGCAGTTGCAACGACTAGGTAAACCAACAGCTGAATACCTTAGAAATAGGGAAGAGTTTAGTACTGATGGGCAGTGCCTAGCAGTGGAATCCAGGATATGCATTTCGTCCTATTTGGGACTCGTCAGCTGGATTTACCTGTACCTGTAAACATAGTTTAAAGACAGGCAATATCGAGGCATCCGCATAGGAGCCGGTATGCCAACGGAGACTGATCAGTTCGGTCCAATCAACGACGGTGTAATACAAGCCATAACACTAGGGAAGAGTTTAACTTCACAAAAAGCTGTCTTCAGCCTTCAGAGTTTGTTTCCCACAGCATTATCTCAAAACGAACTAGTTAGAACTCGGAATGCAGTTGTTTCAAGGAGAGAAAAATAGCGTTGAAGCAGTACATAGAAAAATATTTACCATTCGCCAGCATTTAGACACGCATACGTCACTGAATTACAAATAACAGAAACATACTATGGAAAAATGCATGAATGTCAAATCCTAATATACATCGAGCATTTCAGGTAGAGCTAGTTAAACATCCAAAGCTCTCTGACGCAACTCAAAACATCTTCTAATTCTGTAATAAAAAGTCAAGTACACAGTGACTGTTGTCATTGGAACTAAACAAAATACTAAATGGTACAACTCATTCCTTATCATTAAATATTTTGTATTTAATGTGATACGAAAGAACACCATCAGTGTTTTTTCAATATTGCGCCAAAACTTCAAGGACACCACTAAGAAGGTGTCAAGAAGGTATAAGATTGTGCTCAACTGATCAATCAAAGTACATACATGAATGGAAGTGTTATACATTAGTGTAGTTTGTGGATGAGTAACATCTCGTGAACTTCGAAGTTGCGCCATTGTTGTCCTTGGTGGCATTTGTGATTTGCAACAAAATGATCCAAGGCAGCGTTGCAGTATAATGACAATGAAAAATGTAGCAGAACAGAGGTGTGGTATGATAAAGGAAAACAAGGGATCCATGTAAATTAGGAATGTATAATATAATCTGAAATACTCCGATCTAACATTACAGCCGACAACTGCTTCAACTAGACTTACGTTTTCCACTGAATCTACATATTTTACAGAGTTGATCAAGTGAAGCTGACCGAAAACCCATAAATAATTGCTTAAGGCTGCGAATATTACTGCAATGAATAATCCTGTACTTAATTTTAAGCATAATGATTGTGGTCTTCGCCTGTTATCTTCAATTGAGTATAAACTTGTTGACTGAAAGCGTCTGTTGAATAAGTTGGCTCTTGACAGAATTTTGCATACACGTTCTATACCAAATAGAAGCAAACTCCACTCTTCAAATAATAAGAAAAAGGTTCCAAACATGCGTTTTAAACGGCAGTTGATGTTTAGTTTCAATTTTAAGCTGAATCCAAGATGAAAGATGAGTAGGTTTGATATCCATGGCAGAAGATTTTCAAAAATCAAATAACCGATTTGAGCAAACGCTAAGATTTGTATTAGGAAACGAAATATTTGCCAACTAGTTTTTTCTAAGGCCTCAGTTCTGTATTCGGTGATATTTGCGGAGGAGGATGAACAACGAAAGTGATCTGATATTTCTGTCAATAATATCGTTGGAGAATGTAACCTCATATTTGCTATATTTAAGTCATTTTTGCTAGGATTTGAGAGAAATCCATCGCATTTAGATACATGTTCTTCTTCATTTTGAAATTGTGATCCACTTCTTTGATTCTGCAAGGAATACTTCTCCACACACTCACCAGGACTCCTTGCTAAATTTTGTGGAAATTTTTGAGTTGAAACGGTGGAAACAATACCGAATTCACTCTTTGAGTTATCTATCAACAAATCCAACTCAATGTTTGGATAGGCTGGAGTTATATTTTGATATTTTGAAATACAGTAACTTTGAAATTCAGTTTTGTAAACACAGCAACCACAGTTCAAATCAAACTCATAGCAGGAGTGCATTAACCTTGACTGATTGACAATCTGTTCTTCGTGGTTTGAAGTAGAGCAACATTTTGACAGGAAAAAATAAAACTTGCGTCGACTTGAAAAGGCTTTGTCAATTGCTTTTCTTGTTGCATTATCTGTAGCAATAGTAAACACAGTGGTTAGATTTTCAGGTGAGCTGAAATTTTCTGAATTACAAATTTAACACATAATGGACTGCAATCATTCTTTTTAGATGCTGAAATGTCAAAAAATAAAAGCTTTACGAGCAGTCTGTAATTTGTTTCGCTGCACTAGAATTAGGGTTCTCTTCACCTAGATATTTCAACATAGAGATAACAGCAAATGCAGTGATCTGTCATCTCTGTACACTAGTCTGATGAATGCATCCACAGGTAGTGAGATATAAAGAATTGACCAAACTTACCCACTCTGAGGATAAATCTATGAGTTTAAAGTTGTCTGAAATATAAATTTCATGCTGAAAGTATTCTTTAGTTATACACATTCGCTTCAAATTGTTTCGAGAGTGGAAGGTTGTTTCCTTTTCTCAGGGACTAATCATCAAAAATAAAGATCGCTTATGTCGCCAGCAAAAAGTAAGATTAACTAGGGCTTTTGACCTTGCCTTTTGTTTGTGTTTTCTAGAAGGCAAATTTTGAAACTAAAAAATTACAAAATCAGCCACTGTTGGTAAGAGTATACTACTGAACAACTTGAGTAATTAAAAACTACTCATCCAGATGAAAGTGGAATACACACCAGATGGCTGTTTCGCTCTTCGGGCACTAGGCTAAACAGTGGTGTGGCGAGACAAATTTGACTGACACAGCCAGATCGCCTAAACCACTCAGATCTGGCTAAGCAAGTCTCCAGATCTGCTTGAGCGGTTTCATGCCGGAGAAGGCACCGTGTGGTGATAGCTGAACGGTGTTTCCTAGTGGAAAGATTGCCAACATCACCGTTCATATATAACAAGTAAAAAATAACTTTGTTCCACTGAAAAGTACCAAGCTTATATTCAAAGCTGTGAAGAAAATATGGAAGTAAAACACTAAGGATTATTCATAAATCAGATCAACTGTGTAAAGTACGACCAGCTTCAGCAGCATGTCTCCAGTCTACTCTGTTCTCTGCAATCTTTTAAACATGCCTCCAAGACAGCCCAGAAGCTCTCATTTCTTCCTCACACTATCTCCTTCATGTCACTCCCGGATGCCCAACTCGCCGTTTCCCATCTCGGTTCCACTCGAGTGACTGGCGCGTGATGTCCTCGAATGGTCTTCTCAGTACATGCCCAATCCGCCTCCACTTCCTTCCAGTGCATATTTGTTGGGTAATAGGTTCTTGCTTCGTTGGCTCGTTGCCAGGCCACAGTTCCTTGCTGCTTATTCTTTCTGCCCATCTGAGCCTCAGTAACGAGCCAGCATAGGCAGTTGTTGATAAGTATCGGTAGTTTGTTGGAAATCCCTTTGGTAACGCGCCAAGTCTCTCAACCATCACATAGAAGCACTGACTTTTTATTGGTGTTGAAAATCCGAATCCTGTTCACGCTTTGTTCTGAGTGCAGTAGATCTCCACACTGCTTTCACATTAATGAACGCCTGTCTTGCTGTTTTTCCGATCCTGGCTGGATTTGACGTCCTCGTCTGTGCCTGTGCCGCCTGTAGTTGAAAGAGTGCTGCCTAGATAGGTAAAAGAGACTATTTCCTTTGTGTTTGTCCCGTTCATGTTGATGGGTATTTCATGTTGTTGTTTAAAACAATTAGTCCTGTTTATGAGTTTGGATAATGTAGATAGAAGACGTGGGTTATCTGAAAAATGTTATGTATTAGCGCTATACATTTCGAACAATCTGATCACACATTTACTTCTTAAGGCGTTATATATGAAAATTGGAGGTGGTGGAAGGACAAATATGGCATAGAGGAATTCAATAATAAGAAAGATAATAAGAGGAAAACAGATAAGATTTGATGCCCTAACAAGTAAATGCGTGATCAGATTGTTCAAAATGTATAGCGCTAATACATCACATTTTTCAGATAATCAACGTCTTATAATTGTTGGTAGGGTATCTTCATCACCTCTGTCTTCTCCACGTTCACCTGAAGGAAGTCCCGTCTTCGCTGCGCTGCCCCTTCTGTCAACTTGTTAGTTTCCGCCTGTAGATCTTCACGTTTGTGTGACATCAGACACAAGTCATCGGCAAAATCCAAATCTTCTAGCTTCTTTTCCCCAATCCAGCGTATCCCCCTCTTCTCGCTCCCCACAGTTGTTTCTTGCATGATCCAGTCCAGTCCAGTCCAGTCCAGTCCAGTCGACCACAATCAGGAATATCATGGGTGATAGTAGAGAGCCTTGTCTTACTCCTGTCACTCTTCGCTTCAAAGGCATCACTGAGCTTGACATTGTGAATCACTTGGCGTGTAGCATCACATAGCATATAGCTGTTGAATGAGATGGATAAAGGTTTGTGACACCAACACCTCAGTGTTGAAGCAGTTTCCAAATTACTTCTCGGTCGACGCTGTCGAAGGCCTTCTCAAAGTCAATGAAGTTGAGGTGGAGATCCAGTTGACTGCCATTCTATACTCTGTTCAACGATGATGCGTAGCGTAGCGTTGCAATTCGATGCGCACATGATTTGTCCTTCCTGAAGATAGCCAGTTAGCCAGCTTTTTCGGGTTGTCATCTTGAATCCAGTGCATCCTTTAATGTCTGTAGGATAATGGGTTTAAGAATTTGAATTACATAGATCACATCATAGTGGTGGATAGTGTCGATTATTATACCTTTACTTTTTATTTGGGAGTAATAACTGATGGAGAATTTCGGGCTGATAATGTTGGTAAAAATAAGGTTGTACCCCGTGAGAACTTGTTTAATACGTCACTTTATGTTCAAAGAAAGTTCTTAAGGTGTAACTTTGCAGGTCCAAAGATTAACTTTCTAAAAATACACAGATATTCATAGATGTTCAAAAAGCATACGGACATACGCATCAAAGTTTCTAGTTGCTTTGCGTATGAATTGACCACCATATGAAAGACGGACTGATTCGTAATGTCAATCACGGTCACTTTCGCCATAATTTTTCTAGTCCGTATGTGTTAGGAGCAACTAGCAGAATAAGATTTGGAGTAATTCATTACAGGATGAAGGAAAAAAGGGTGATCGCAGAGAAATTTCCATAATAATTCCATTGGTTTGTTAGGTGTTGGAGGTCTTGAATATATGCCGTGGGTATGAGATATAATAATGACTAGCACCGTTGCGCATAGAAATCTGAAGAGCTTTACGAAAAATTGTGTACTTCATTTCATTTTCCTTATTCTCACTTTCAAAAAGTGTCACTGCAAGTTGTTTATAACGTCGGTAAAAATGTCACAGGGTTTCGTTTTCTCTAGTATCATCTGTAACAAAACAGTTCACTGTTATCTTTATTCACGTTTCACTGTAGTCTAGTGATAAGGTACACCGGAAGGTAATCAAACAGTTCGCTCCAAATTTTTAGAAACTTGTGCGTCAGGACTAACTTACTATCAGGCATTAACTCAACTCCGGTTTTTCAGTACAATATTAACATCTTGTGCTTTTTTATATTTATCATGCCGTTTCTTAGCCTTTACCTCGTCGTGACATCAGTTTACGTATCATATTATAATATTTGGACTTAAAACTTTTAGGAGAAAAGCATCTCACAATGCTTGTCAACATCCACGTCGGCTAACACACAAATACACATACTGTTTTGCATCTCTTCTTATCATATGATATACACTTACCGCAGACTGGTCTTTTAATTTTTATCTATAAACTGCAATCTTCAGTAGCATTATTAAATTATCACTAAAAATCGTCGGACTTGGCATTTGAGGGTTCAGTATGGTGATCACATGTCTTTTCAACTTACAATTTACACACAGAGTTGAAGTCTGTATTCAGATACTTCCGGTTTATATGCGATGCAACACGACACCCTGTTCTCAAAATTCAGTCTTAACCAATCACGACTACTTTAATAGATTTCAAGAAACATGTATGTACACGTGGGCGAGAATAGAGCTCAGCTGTTTTCAGAATATTTGGTTTAAAAAATTTAGATTGTAACAAGGTTGCACATAAATCTTTGTCATATTCTGCTTGCATCAGCCTAGTTCACAATCTTCAGCATGTAATTTTCAACTTACAAGAATTATTATATCGTCGGCGTGAACAACAATCGATTTAAGTGTCATTTTTGAGAAAACAAAAGAGTTTCTTTACATTGGTAAAACATATTTCAGTAAATTTTCAATTATCTCAAGCATTGAACAGTTGAATGCACGGATTTGACAGTGTGAAATGTTTTAAAACAAATTAGATTTTAAGAAATCAGTAGTACAAATGAATGAAAACGTATTACAGCTTCAAAAACCACCTCATTTCGATCTATAATAAAATCAAACCATAAGGTTGATCATCTAGCTAAGTAGTGGAAGTTTTCTTTTCAGAATATCTGTCAACGAAACTCAGTTGATTTTTAGCAGAGTTTAAACTTTTAACCAAGATTTTAAAACTTATTGATGTTTGCACATTCTTCTGCAAAACGTCCAACGTGCTTGTGTCTTATCAGCAAGTTGCATCTTCAACCCCAATAAAAGTAACGTCCTCTAACCATTCTGGATTAATCAGAGTCCACCATGATGCTGATTCTCTTCACTTGGTGATCACATTGTAAAGTGATTGACAGAATTTAGTCAGTACGATCAACTGAACAACATGAAAATAGTTACTCTCAAGTTACCCCTTTGTGTACCTAATACAGTTCTAATGGAAACTAGTTGTGGCCGAGAAGATTCAGCTACAAAGTATCTGACTGCAGCAGTGAGTGTTGCGAGGTTCGAGTCCCTGGTTTGACACCAATCCCCTCACGGTTGCAGATATGCACTTCTGATAAGTGTTAACATTAAAGAAATATATTTGCAAAGCTTCCTGTCGCTTGCATCGAGTCTTATCACATAACCAAAACACATTGGGATGCTGATCCTTCTAACTTAATGACCACCATATTAATAAATGATCGAGTCACTTTCATTAGTACTTTGGAATCTACAACGTGATATTGCTCTATTAATGTATGTAATTGAACATG